GACAATCAACTGTGAAAGACTTAGTAACTCTATTCAACACACTGACCCACCAAAATTCCAAAGAACTCATGATGAAAAATACCAACTACTTCCAGAGAAATGATAGACTCCATGCAGACTGAAGAATTTTTTTCTTGCCTTTTTAAAAAAATATGGCTAATGTGGAAATTTGTTCTGCATGATTTCATATTTCTAATGGGTTTTATATTTCTTGTCTTCTCAATGAGTTGGGGAGAAAGAATTTGGAACTGAAAATAAAATTGAATTTTAAAAAATTTTAAATGGTCGGTCACAGCAGTGAGTAGTTTATGATAATAGAAAATGCTCCTATTTTCCAAATGTGATCCTATTTGATCTCTTCTGATTCAATTTTGGACCCACGTCATTTTCTAACCACTGCACATAAGCTACAAATATCTATCTATGAATATATATGCAAAGAGAAATAGTGTAGTGTAGTGGGCAAACTGTGAAGCTTGTAGTCACAAAGTCTCGACTTCAAATTCCACTTCTGACGCTTGCTGCCTGTGTAAAAATGGGCAAGCCACTAAACTTCTATGTGTACCTGAAGATCCTTGCAATCAACAGAGAATCCATTTATTTGGACTCTGTAGAAGCTCTCTCCCATAACACTGATTAAACTCTTCAAGGAAGCATGTTTCTTTTATATAAGCCTAGCTTCATATGCTGATTCTTAGCAGATCCTAGAAGAGAGCTGTCTCCATGATCATATGTGTCATAGAACTTTATATGACTTTAACAATTAAATTTCAAAATACCTTGTCTGAAGATAGTCTTTAAGGTTGTTTTTTGTTCTATCAAATCATTTTTTTAAAATTCAACAATAACCAAGAAGAATCTGCACTCTTTACATTTCTCAATCAGCAGTATGACTGGAAGATGCGGTCTACTTAAATTTTTTTTGGATGAAAATAAAAGCATTTTTTTGTGGTAGCAAAGAAGTGGAAACATTGGAGCTGTCCACCAACTTGGGATTGGCTAAACAAATTGTGCTACATAAATGTAATGAAATAGTATTATAACAAAAATGATAATATGAAGACTTAACAGATGTATGGGAAGACTTATGAACTGAAGCAAAGTGAAGTAAACAGAACCAGATGAAAATGTGAACAATGATATGTAAAGTACAATAACAAAAAAATGAAACAGAATGCTGTGTGATTACAATGGCCAAGTTTGGCCCCAAAAAGGAGATAAGAAACTATGCCCCCCTCCTTTATTTTTAAGATGGGAGGGGCTATGGCTGAAGAACACTGCATTTACTGTCAGATTCAATGTATTGATTCGTTTGGCTGAACTGTTCTTCTCACCCCACTCCCCCCACTTTTTAAAAATTTCTTTGTGACAAGGTATAGGATGAGAAAGGAAGAATAATTTGGAAATGAAGGTGATATAAACAATTATATATATAAACACAAATTTTTTTTAAAGGAAAAAAATTAAATAAAAGCTTGTTTGTTCCCTTCTCATGTTTTCCTCAAGAATACCTTTCAGGGATACATATACCACTCTATTCATAAAGACTTTGTAGTATGAGTAATTTCTGGTGTTTTTTACATTGTTCTTTTTTTGGCCAGGAAGGATAGCAGGGGGCCATTTCTGATATTTTCTACTTAATCCTTTTATTATCTCTTTGAGATATTTTGAAAATTGATTCTTGAGTGCTTAATATAATATTACATGCTATATTTAATAATTTTATATTATAATTTTGTATTATATTTTGTAATTATATAGTATATAATATATTTCTGTAGTTAACAATATACTGAGACATTTCTAAATGGGTAATACTCAAAACTTACTAGAAAATTCAAAAACAAAGGAAAACTAGATCATGGAAACCCTTTCCAAATAGTAAAGTGTAATCTAGTTGCAGAAGAGAGAAAAAGGATGGACTCTTAAAAGTTAAAGAACTGGCATGGATGTCTCCATTGAATTAAACAGTTGCTCCACTGATAGTCTTCTCCATACAACTCATTTATTCTCCCTGTAGCTAGCTTCTTCACTTTTAAAGGATAACATTCTCTATCAAACTATCTTTTAAAAAGAATGCAATAGAATACTTTGTAAAATACTTTGAACTTCAAGGTATTAAAGTCATGCATACAATATACAATATTTATCTTCTAAGAGTCTCTCCTTATTATCGTCTTAAACTTGAGATCGGGTACCCTTTAGAAGTGTGCAATCACACAACTTCCACTAGCTTTAAAAATTACCACCAATTCAAACATAAGCATTCTAAAAAATGTCCCTCAACCTCACATATACCAAATTCTCAGCTAAGTATCACATGCTCTCACTTTCAGTGTCCTATGGCTCACTTAGAAAATTCATACTGCCTAAATTTTCATGAATTAAAATAGCTCAAAGTTAAACTGCTTTTTTCTCTAGCGAAACCCTTCCATGAAAGTCATTCATTTACCACTATATTATCATACTATAATATTTTATTATCAAACATGGTACTGAAACACTAATGGCAAAAATGCACTCTTTTCTAAAGGTACACTTGTGGTTAGGACAGTAATTACAAATACTTTGGGGAAGGAGGGTGTGCCTCACTGTCATCTACTGTAAGTATATGTTTCAAGTGGAAAAAAAATGAGCTGTCCACGAATTATAATAATTAACTAACCAGAATTCCTTGGTGGAAAGGGGGGGGGAATTAGGCTAAATGCTGTTTCTGATTGTTCTTGGACTACCTATCATTTCCTCTGTCTTCTCTGAAATTAAATTATGGTGGATTGTGCCTCAAGCCAAAAAATTGTCATTAGACTGGCAAATTCAAATAACACAGATAAGGGCTCATTGTGTAAGATTAGGCTTCATAAACAAATGCATTAAAGGTAAAGGATCTTTTAGACAGTATTCCATTATGCGACCAGTAGTGCAATAATGGTACAAAAAAATTAATGAAAATATAAAGCCACTTTAAAATATTTACAATATAAAAAATTAGTTTCAAAATAAGAATGAATACATAACTAAATTAAGGAGAATAAAAAACTAACCCTACCTCTAAGGGTTTGAAGTTAAAAATTGTTTTTCATAATTTAATTTTTTAAACAATTATTTTCATGGTTATGACACATGACAATGAGCTTTTTATTTTACAAACTGAAATGGGTTTCTTTTTTTAAAAACATATTTATTTATTTTTAGTTTTCAACATTCGAAATGGGTTTCCAAAGTAAGTTTTTTTGTCTGAACCAGTGATTTCATCTACTGGTGTAGAAACTTCCTCTACCAGTGCAGAGTATCTAGTAGTTTAAAACTGTCTTGGAGTTGACTGGGTCATGGAGAGGTTAATTAATTTGTCCAATGTCACATAAGTATGAGTCAGAGACAGGACTTGAATCCAGATCTTCATCACCTCAGGACCAGCCCCCTCTTAAATATGCTATACTGCACCTCACTGAAGAAAGTTGCACGTCTTTAGAAACATAACAGAATTCCATGTGCCTGGGATTATTTAAGCTTGATCTTTCTGAAAATATGAGGCTAGACAAAATAAGCCTTTCAAAGTACTTTCTAACTTTATGATTCTAAGAAACAGATATCCTAATACCATTAGTATTCGGAAAACTTGAAAGGAATGTTGGTTAAAATAAAACTTGAGGAAATTAAGTTCAGCAACTTAGGAAGTAGAATTCTGCTTTAAATGTTCTAACAGACTTGAAAATAGGGCTTTCAAAGACGTTCCTGAGAAAACAATTTGTAAGACAAAGATATCTCATGGATCACAGAAAGTGGCTTACTGAAATATATACACACTGACTTCACTACTTCCAGGATTCGTGTTTTCATTTGTGTGAGCATTCCCTGTACCAATGCATCCCATGATGCTATGGCCCAAAGCACATCACCTGGTGGCTAAACATCTGGTGATGAGCTTCTACAGATTTAACTAAGCTGGATCTCAGCTGACAAATTGTCACTGGACCTATATTGTTGCAAAGTACAAAATATATTCAAAGAATTAACTATGAAAAAGACTTAGAAACCACAGTCAAATGCTTATAAATTACAAGAATGGAGAGCATTACAGCAGTTAATAGGGAAGTGGAAAAGAAATGGTAACAGGAAAACGTGGCCATTTGGGTTTAATAACTTAGGTTTAAAATCTCAAAACTAAACTTCAAATGCCGTTATCTTTAATACAATAAAGGAAATGAAATTTTAATTTTTCCTGCTAATAGAATTTATATTATAAAATAATTTTTAAAGCTTCTAAAAAAAGTGGCCAAGTGCTAAAAGGCAAGTGGGAGAAAGAAGGAATAAAGTTTAAATTGCCACAAGTTGGATAATTAATCCTTAACTAATTAAGGATTAGCTAGAATTTGGGGGAGTGCCCATGCTGTCCTTTGGGGGATTAATTGGAACTGGTAAGATTACCTGGCCCGTATAAGTTACAATGGATTTCCCCGTCTTTGGTATGATTCCATCACTCTTTTGAGATTGGTGTTCAGATCTGAGTAGATACCCTATAACTTAGTCATCACATATTTCCCCAACTCTTTTGCTTCTTTATACCATATATATCCATTTCAAAAATTCCTCAATGAATCTGATACTCACTAAATGTCAATCATATACTTAAGGCTTTCAAAAATTATTCTATTATTATTAGCACCAAACAGAACTTTAAAAATGTGGTCAATACTGATTTTTTTGCCTGGAAAAGAAGGTTTTCTGGGACATGATCTCCTTTCTGCCTCCCTCAATCTCCTTTGTTACTGACTAAAGACAGAAGCCAATTCTGCATCACCTCTGCACTCGTGGGCAAGAGTCAGCAAGTCCCACTTCCATGTGCCAGGAGGAACAGAAAATGAATACAGTCAGTAATGTATGGTAGGAACTTTCTAAGTGTTGTGAAATTGCCTCATCTTTACCACTGATAACCTACTTAAGTTTACGAAGTGTGAGTCTCAAATATGGGAATCAAATCTGGACATAAAAATGACAAATTATAAATATCATGAGAGAATTTTAATATTAAAATATTTTAACATATTTAAGGATCACATAAATTAGTCTCAGATTTTAAAAGCTTTCAACAATATATCTGCTGCTAGTCCTGGAGAAAGATCCCCACTGGCAACCTTTTCCTCCAGAAAAGGAATTTGGTCCTTTACTGCTGAACAATTTCGGAAACGTTCTAACACACTTTCCTGGATCAGGCTCCACATCCAGACTTTCTGCTGCTTTCGTCTCCTGGCAATGAGCTCGTGACTGGTGAGCATGAGGTCCTGGAATTCTTTCATTCTGTCCCACATGTCAGTAATGCCTTCTCCAGTTTTTGCAGAAATGCGTACTACCTACAGAAAAATGAAGAGCAATCTGACTCATTTCTTATCAAAGGAATAGTAAGTATTCTTCTTTAGTGGTTCATTCTTAACTATCTCATTATACAAGTAAACAGCAAATTCAAGCTGCATTTTTTAAATGTGGAAAAGCAGGTACAAAGAGTAACTTAACTATAATTACTCCATAAATTTGTTGCAGAGCCAAGAACTTATCGTAGATCCAAATCACAATTTGATAATTTGTGCAGAGCTAATAATTGGGTGGTGGGGTGGTTATAAAGATAAACACTCCAAAGCTAGGTAGGGTTTCCACATCCAAGTTGGTTTTGGGACCATAGCCCCACTAATAGGGGCAAATAATCCTGATCAGGGGAATAGGGCAGCACAGTAGGTGAACAGTGAGGAATGACACATGAATGGGATTAGAAACTGAGTCTAAGAAACATGATTTCACTTTCCTATAGCTGTCACATTTGTGGTTTCTTTCTTTAAGAACATAATAATCTTACAGGTAAAACCGGAGAAGTCACAATTATGACATCAATAGATATAGGATTATATCTTTTTTACTGCTACCTCCCCTTGCCATCAACATCATAACATGCTAAATGGAGAAGAAAGTATCTTACTATAAAAGCCTTTACTCTTTCACGTTGTGGAGAAACTAATCACCAATAGCTTTATAATTTTGGGAATAGTTTGTTTTCAGAATAGATTTGCTACAATTTCAACATGTTTAAAATCAAGCATTAAGTAACTTAATGTATCATTTCATATCTAGAACCCTACTTTTTAACATGTAGTAGGCTGGTGATAATTTTAATATCCCTGCTATAGACTCTACTTTTGTCACAATTTTAAAGGCTGTAATCTTCACATAAAAGCTAAGACTGATTATATGTCTTGCTTAGGATTTACATCCTTTTATAAAATGTGCACAGTCCATTCAGGAGGAAAAGCTTATAAATGGAATGGATACTCACCTTTGGTTTCCAGACTTTTGAGCGCTTACGGAGTAATTTTAATGCACTGTTATACTCTGCTTGTATCCTTCGAGCTGGCACAACCAAGTCCCCATCAGCTTTAGTTATAGCTACCAGATCAGCCATTTCAATTATACCACGTTTGATGCCCTGAAGAAAAAAGGAGGAAATGGGAATAAGCATTAATATTGGTCAACAAGTCATAAGGCAAGATGTTTCATTATTCTCTCAGCTTAAGTGTGAAAATCCCTCAAGGCTCTATCCTATGCCTCATTACTTTCTCTCCATATACTCTCTCCTTTATTGACCTTATCCGCTCATTGATTCAATTATCAGTTCTATGTAGATGACTCTAAAATCTATACATTGAGCTGATGTCTCTCCCCTATGGGGGATTGCAGCAGTACTCCAGTCTTGTCATCTACTTACCAAATACCTTCCTCTAGATAGCTCACACACATCGAACTAAACATGTCCTAAACTAAACTTACCATCTTTTCCCCAAACCACATCTCCTTTAAGATTCCCTTTGTTATTGATAACACCATTTATTCAAAAATTATTTATCAAGTGATTACTGTGTATCAGATACTTATATCCCTAATGCTACTTTGTACCTTACATAATTATTTTTTTATTTGCAGACGTACTTAAGGCACAATGGAAAGATACAAAAGGAACAGCCTCTGTCCTCAAAAGCTTATGTTCTACTGGGGATAAACAACACATACAAGGCATTAGCAACACAGAAGGAAATCAATGACTCAACAAACATTTATGAAGTGCCTAGCACTGTAAGACACTGTACGAGGTACAAAAGATAAAAAAAAAAGAATCTCTCTTCTTAAGCAGCTTGAGGATGCCTATCATTGTATAAATTGTTCTCCTAGCTCTGCTCACTCCACTACGCATTAGTTCATAAAGCTATTTCCAATTTCTTCTCAATATGTCCATTTCATCATTTATTTATGATGAAATAACATTATATTATGTATATATACCACTTTTTGTTTACCCATTCTCCAATAGGAGGCTGTCTCTTAGTTTCCACCTTTGGGCAATCACAAAAAGCTGTTATAATTTTTATACATAATTCCTCTTTCTTTCATTTCTTTTGAGTACAGGCATAGAAGTTGTAACTGAGTCGGAGAGTATGCACAGTTTGGTATCTTTATTGGAATTGTCCCAAACTGCTTTTCAGAAAAGCTGAACTAATTCACAGCTCGATCAACAGTGCATTAGTGTATTGGTTTTCCCACATCTCCTTCATAGTTGTCATTTTCAAACTCTTTTGTTATCTCTGCCAGTTTGAGTGGTATGAGGTGTAATCTCAAGGTTGCTTTAATGTGAATTTCTCTAATTATTTGTAATTTAAAGTATTTTTTCACAAGATTATAAATAGCTTAGATTTTTTCCTTTGAAAACTGCCTTTCTGTTTGATCATTAACTGGGGGAATGTTTCTTAATCTTACAAATTTGAATCAGTTCCTTAAATATCCTGAAAATGAGATCTTTATCTGAGAAAGCTGTTGTAAAGATTTTCCCCCAGTTACCTGTTTCCTTTTTAGTTCTTACTAACTTTAAAAGACTTAAGAATTCTGATCAAAGCAATGAATAAGAGGACCTATGATAAAAATGCTACTACCTTTTGATGGAAAGGATGACGGCCTCAAGGTGTAGAAGAAGATATATATTTTTGGACATGCTCATTGCGTGGATTTATTTTGTCTGACTATGCTTATTTGTTACAAAGGGTTTTGTTTTTTTTCTTTCTGTTTTTAATGGGGTGGTGGGAGTAAAAGGAAGAGAGGAAAAAGGGATAGTGATGTCAAAAGAAGAAAAGAAACCTACTGGAACACTTTAAAAAGTATTCAGGAAAGAACAGAAATTCAGAACTAAACACAGATAAGTAGGAGAGTTTTGAAAGTGACATGTTAAAGTGCTCACTTTTTAAAAAAACAAGCAAAATGGAATAATTATTTAGGATTTTATATTAAAATCTTTTTTTGGTATTCACCTTTATATAAAGAAATGCTCTTTTGTGTTTGTTAAGTTTAAAATTTTTAACCATTTTAAACAAAGAACTGATAAAGTCAGATCTGTACTTTAGGAATATCAATTTGGCAGTAATGGGGAAGATGGATTGGAGAGGGAGAGAATAAAAGCAGAGAGACTAACTAGGAGGCTACTGTAATAGTCCAGGTGAAAAGTGATAAATGCCAGAACTCAGGTGGTAGCTGTATGAATAAAGAAGAGACAGATGGGAGAGATGATGTGTGGAGGTATAATCAGTAAGACCACCATACTTCCAGTCACATGTCTTAACACCTTGGAATTTCCTTGACTCTTCCCTCTTCTTTTATTTCCCTTCACCCCTAAAATATAGTCAGTTGCCAAGACTTACTGATTACACTTCCACAGGGGCAATACCACATAGCCTCTCATCACCTTTGTACTATCATTAATTGGACTAGGCTAGTAATTCATTTCCCTGCCTACAGTCTCCCATCTCTCTTATCCATATATACCTTCCAAAATAAGTCTCTTAAGGCATAGTTCTGATGTCACACCCTGTACTCAAAAACTTACAGGGACTCTGTGCTACCCACAGGATGAAATACAAAGTACCTGTTTAAGGTTCTCCGTAATCTAATTACAACCCAGCCCTTTTCTTTTTTGGGGGGAGGGGAAAGGATTATTAATTCTGGTCCCACTTTCTATAGTCCAATCAAACTGCACTACTAGTTTTTTCTCCAAACTCACCATGCCATACTAAGTTCTACTTCAATACACTGACAAAAGTTATTCCTTATACCTGAAACATTCTCTCCTTTTCTAAATTTTCAGGATCCTTCTCTTCAAGGCTCAGCCTAAGTGCTCCCTCTTCTATACAGGTTTCCCTAACTAGAAAATCAGTTCTCTGCCTTCTCTTCAGCTCCTTGAGGGTAGAGATTATCTTGTCTGTATTTGTATCTGTATCCTCAGCATTTATCACAGTGCCTGGCACATAATAAGTGCTTACTAAATGCTTCATCCATCTTGGATTTGCAAGATAACACATACCACTAATACACATATAGCTATTTTATGCCATTCCAACACTTAAAACCACTGGGAAAGCTGAACTACTACATTTCTGGAGAAGAAATCTTTGCTTTCTGAAACATCCCTCTAATATATACATATATGCAGATGAGAAATTTTTCTCTTGTCTGTCTGGAAAAAATACCCTGTAATTTAAAAGTAAACTGAGGTCTGAAATTTTTAAAGAGATTATCCCAGCTTTTTGATTCAAATTATGGTAGAAGATTAAATGTCAATGTCAAAAGATGAAATCCAATAGTGACTAACTAATAATTGTGGGAAACAGTGGAAAAGTACTACTTCTAAAATAACGATTAAAAAGTTGCAATTTTTCAAATAGCTTTCATTAATAAAATTTAATGACTTATAATTTTATATTCACTATAACAATACAAAGTTACCAATAACAACAAAAAATTTAAACTTGAATTCAGATGGTTCCTGAAGTAAGGATAGAACTCTATTTTATAAAGTAGAATTCTAGTTTCCTAGAAAAATACAGAATCAATTAAAGGATGATATATCTGATAAATAAAAGTTTTGAATTTACTATAAGTAGCAAGACTTCAACTGTCCCTATAGGTCAGAGCTATCCTATTTTAACCCTTCCTGCCTTAGTAATGGAAAAAATAGGTCTTATGACTCATTTTAAGGTCATATAGTAAATCTATGGAAGTTAAGAACAAAAAATAAACAATCTGTCATTTAGTCAAGTGTTTTATCCAATAAAGAATGATGCTTCACTGCCCACCCATTTTTATCATTTTAACTTACAAAGGTATAACTTCAATAATATTACCTTACAAATAAATTACAAACAAACCTCCCATAACATTAAAAAAAAACTGCCTAAGAGAAAAGTTGGATAAAACTATGGAACTAACTTGCTCATAACATTTTATAGAACCAATTTATAATGTTAGGTAGGGATATACCTACACAGGCAATAATGAAAATTTGGAATTTCTGGGATATATCCCACATATTTCCAATTAAGAAAGAGAGAACAATTACCTGCAATTCATCTCCTCCTGCTGGTGGTAGTAATAAAACAAACATATCAACCATGTCTGCAACAGCAAATTCTGACTGCCCCACACCTGAAAAATGTTAATCATAAGCATATATTCAAAACGTATTCCTCAAAGCCCATTTGTAAGGCAAAAGGAGAACTTCTATAAGGAAAATTCATGATGGTCTCCATGCTAAAATAAACAAAGTCAAGTTTGGGGAAACCAAATACATAATCTAACTCCAGATGGGTAAAATTCCATAACATTTATACTTAATTATTTTGTTTTGGAGAAATTTGTTAAAATTAATAAATTTCTCCTGACAGAAAGGCTGATGGACTCAAGAGGCAGAATGAGGATCTATTTTTGGACATGGCCAATGTGGTCATTTGTATTTCTGTGATTTGTTACAACAGTTTTTTTGTTATTTTCAGTGGGGTTGAGGGTAGGGACCTGAGGAGAGAAAATAAATATTTGTTCATTGAAAAAAAATTATATATACAAAAATTATATTTCCAGTATGCATGATTAAGAGACAAAACAAAGCAGACCTAAAAACACACTATGCTAATTTTCAATTCAACCTTTATTATGTATTTATGTATGAGCAAACAGTCCTTACCTTTAGGAAGTTTGTATTCTCTTAGGGATTAGGGTGGAAGCTACAGGTATACAAACAAGTATCACACAAACAAAATCTAGGAAAAAGAACACTAATAATTTGGAAGTGGGAAGAGAATGAAAGGCTTCATGTCCCATCTAAGTTGAACTTTGAATGAAATCAGGGATTCTGAGAAACGAAGATGAAAGCACATTCCAGGTATGTGAAAGAGCTTCTTCAAATTCATAGAGTTCTTGGATCATAGAGTACTGAGTGCAGGGAATGGTCAATAGACCGTTTTGACTGGACTGTAGCATTCATGAAGGAGAGTAATATGAAATAAGGCTGCAAAAGTAGGTTGACACCATATTGTTGAAGGCCATAAATGTCAGGCTAAGGCATACATATACACCCCTTCAGCAAACAGCAGTTAGTCACTAAAGATTCTGGATATGATGCTCACACCTGAGTCTTAGGAATATTATTCTGACAACTATATACAGGCAATATAGAAGAAGGGAGAGTCTGAAAAAGTAAAGCCCTATTAGAAGTCTATTATAGGGGCAGCTAGGTGGCGCAGTGGATAGAGTACTGACCCTGAGTTCAAATCTGGCCTGACACTTGACCCGTAATAGCTGTGTGACCCTGGGCAAGCCACTTAACCCCACTGCCTAGCCCCCCCCCCCAAAAAAAGGAAGAAGTCTATTATAGTAGTCCAAGTAAAAGGTGATGAGGACCTGAACTAGAATGGCTAGCAGTTGTGTAAGTGGGAAAAAAAAAAAGAGATGATGTGGAGGTAGAATCAACAAGGTTTGGCAATACATTGCATGTGGGGTGAGACAGAGGGAATAACCAAGGCTGATCCAAGCTAAACAAACTGCTCTGAACACAATATGGAAAGAAAGTCATAAATAAGCTGTCCTCACTCTTTTTTCCTTCTCTATGTTTATAGATGATTTTGGAGGTTAAACAACTGCTAAGTCTCAAATAGGATATGGGAAGAAGTAGTAAAGAAAAACTGCTTTTTGACCAAAAGACAAAAAAAAAAAAGAACCAGAGAATTTTAGGGCAAAAAAGGACCTTAGAAATTATTTTAATCCAAGCCCCTTATTTTATAATTAAGGAAATGATTGGGGCAGCTAGGTGGCGCAGTGGACCGGCCCTGAACTCAGGAGGACCTGAGTTCAAATTCTGCCTCAGACCAAACACTTGACACTTACTAGCTGTGTGACCCTGGGCAAGTCACTTAACCCCAACTGCCAAAAAAAAAAAAAGTGATGCTAAGAAAGGTTAAGTGATTTTCCAGTATCACAGAATGATAGCACTAGAAACCAGGGCTTCTGACTTCTAGATGATCGCTCTTTCTGCTACATGCTACTCCCTTCAAGTTCAACTATAGTTTTGATCAAATCTTCTTTTTTCACCTACAATGCAAACAACATAATCATATTCATTTCTTTCTAGTATGTCACAAGAAGAGGCAATCAAAGTACTTTCAAAGATGACTATTATTGAAGTTCCAATGACCCTTTTTGTTTGAACCACTTCAGATGTTTATAACATTATTCTGTTTTATAGTTACTCATGAATATGCCGTATCTTGCCTATTAGAGTGTATTGCTGTTCAGTCGTTTCAGTGTGTCTGACTCTCTGTGACTCCATTTGGGGTTTTCTTCACATAGACACTGGAGTGGTTTGCCCTTTCCTTTTCCAGTTCATTTTACAGATGAGGACACTAAGGCAAACAGGGTCAAGTGACTTGCCCTGGGTTACACAGCTAGTTAAGTGTCTGAGTTTAGATTTGAATTCAGGGAGATGTGTCTTCCTAACTCCAGGCCTGGCACTCCCTCCACTGCTCTAACTAGCTGCCCCTTTTAGAGTTTAAGCTCCTTGAAGGTAGGAACAATGTCTGATAGATTTTTGTATACTTCACAGTGCTTAGCCCAAATGTCTTACAACTTTAAGAAAAACTTATTGAATGAATTATGTGTAAATAACTTATTATCTAGAACCTATCTTTGCATAAGACTTAATATATGATTTTGCTTTTATAAAACAGACAGAAAAATGTACTTACCTACAGTTTCAATAAGAATGATATCATATCCTCCTCCTTCACAGAGAAGGATAGCTTCATTTGTAGTCCTTGTCACACCTCCTAAAGTTCCTCTAGTAGGAGATGGTCTGATGTATGCATTCATGTCTTTTGACAACTCAATCATCCGTGTTTTATCACCCAAAAGTGAACCTAAAATATACATTTTTAAAAATTTCTACAAAAGCTATAAGGACCAAATATTAAGTAGTCAGTTCCCAAGTGCATTCCTTCATGACGTTTTGCTCAAAATCACAATTTTCCTTCATTATTACTGTGCTTCAATCCACTCTGAACATGAAACTCCCCTTCTGAAAAACATACAGCAATAGTTCTCTGCCCTAAGATGCAGCATGTCATAGCAGATAGAAAGCTAGTTTTGCAGCAGGGAAAGCCTGGATCTGACACACACTGGCTTCAATGACTCTAGATAAATCACTTAATCTCTCAGTTAACTGAGGCAACTGAGACCATAAGTTACAAACCAGAAGCTGATCTTTATGACAAATGGACTTTCCTCATCAGCAGTTCCCTGAACTAGTGAAATCACAGATCTATTGGGATCAGCTAAGTTCTTAGCACTCAAACCCTCCATAATTTAGACCTACAGTCCAATCTTATCTGCCCCATTCCCCTCAAACAAACCATCAGGCTGGTCTTCTTAGTGTCCCTTCTACATACCACATGTTCATTTCCCTCTCTCTTCAAACCTGAAATGTTCTCCTCTCTCCAATTATCCAAATCCAAGGAATCTTTCAAGGATGAGACAAAGCCCAACTTCTTCCATAAAGCCTTGGCCCCACAACTTACTGCTGCACTTCAAGGTTTGAAAAGTAATCATATATTATCTTGTATTGTTCTCTGATTTATGTCTTATTTCCCTTAAATTCTAAACTGCTTGAGGACAAGGACTGTATCATATTCTCTAACACACTAGCTGAAGCATTCAACTACTGGCTGAACTGAATTCAGTTTGGAATTCACTGTGATACATTGACACTTGCTAACTTGAGAAGGAAAGACTTGAAATGCTAATAATTACTCTTAGCCATTTAGTGTTAGGACAGTTATTTGAGGACTCTAGGGGGATCTTTGTCCTAAATTCTCAGTTTTATTTAGCTTAAAAGAACTCTGTTACATGTACCAGAGACACTGACCAGTCCTTAGAGCATGTACAATATGCTTTGCCTGGTATTAATCCACGTGGAGGACTGGTTAGCCTGCTTCAAAAGTGTGTGAATACAAGGCATTTCCTTACCTCTCAACTTTGGTGTGTACAGGTATTCTTTGTTTCCTGTAAGTGTACTATGTGGTGATGAAAAGCCTTTTAGTTAGCAGTTAAACCAAGACTCAGTGTACATACAAATAGTATAAACAGACAAAACCTTTTTCTTCCTAGTGGTTTTTGATACTGAAGAAATACTATTAGTCCTCTCATGAAAGAGCCCTTACCTCCAGTCATCACACAGCCATGAATACATGGTGCCCATATTTATTTTGTCTCTATTGTATTTATTCTTTCATGATCTTAGGTAGCCAAGCCCAGTGAAGAGCCAGCCCGGATGAGCTACTTGCTTGACCCAACCTAGCAGCTGAGATATTGTGCTTGCAAGCAAGGAAACAATTCATTTATTAGCTATGCTAGAACCATAAGTAAACTTGGTGGAGGGAATGCTTTGTACCAACTACTTAAAGTTTGAGCCCACTTTCTCCATGGACCAAGGGGACATGGAAAAGTGGACATCTCCCCCCCAGTTTGGGGGATGTTTTATACTTCTGTCCTTGCTATCTATTTTCTCAATAAATATCCATTTGTAAAAGCTCACTGATATTAATTGATTAATTGATATTGAGGAAAAATCGAGTGGTCATTTGGTCATGATATTAGAGAGAGATTAATTGGCAATAATAATGGGAAGAATATACTGTTCTGAGGTCAAGACTTTTAGTGAAACCACAAATCTGCATTACATATGGCTTTTTTTTAAGTATAAGATAAATTCAGTTAGTTGCAAAAATTTATCTACTCATCTGCTTCCCTCTGAAGCTCCTTCTGTTTTCTCTGTGCATTTCTAAATGCTTCATGATGCTCTTAACCTTCTTTTCTTTTTGTAATACTATCACTAACCATTCTCTTTCTCTAATCCCTCTCACCACCCTCCCCAAAACAAAACAAAACAAGAAGCAATGCAATAAACACAGGTCTTATTCTGAACCTCTACCTCTTTGGTTTTCTGGAGTCATGGTTGGTCATTCAATTGATCAGACTGCTTAAGTCTTCCAATATTGTTTTTCTTTATAATGTTGCAGCCATTTTATAAACAGTTCCGTACTGCCTTTTACAAATGGTTTTATGTAGGCACATTGTTTTTGTTAACTTCAGTTAACAGGGGGTCAGAAACCACGGAGAGACATGAGCTAAGAGTTAATGTTTCAAAGGAACTATTAGGTAGGAGCAAAACAAGCTACAGAAGTCTTTATTAGAGAAAAGCTTCCAAGACTGAATCTAGTCTGTTAGAGACATGAGTGTCTGACACCTAAATTAGAGACTATTATATAGAATTAAATTCATTCAGATACAGAGTTAAAGAAAGGTAAATAATTTGCAGAGTTATTTTATAGTTCATGGTCAAGCTATGCTAATAAAGTAAAAACAATACTACCTAAATTAATTTATAGTTTCAGTGCTATACTATAACAAACTACCAAGGGTTATTTAATATAACTAGTTAAGATAACTACATGAAGGAAACAAAAGGTCAAGAATTCCAAGGGAGATAAAACTTACTGTAAGTCAGTAATCATCAAAACTATTTGTAGTGGTTAAAAAATAGAAAAGTTGATCAATGGTACATATAAGGTAAGCATGACCTGAAGTAAATGAACACAGTAGTCTAGTGTTGAATAAAAACAGTAACACAAAACTATTGGGGTAAGAACTTCCTAATTCAAAGGGAACTGTTAGTGAAACTGGAAAGCAGTTTAACAGAAATTAGGTTTAGAATGATATCCTATACTATATACCACAGTAAACTTCAAATGTGATTTAAATCTAAAAGATTCTATCATTAAATAGAGAAAGGAGAATGATAGAAGGTCCCTTGTATAACTAGGGCAAGGTAGAGAATTTTTAATCAAACAAAAGGGAAAAGTTATCACCATAAAATATAAAATAAGACAACTTCAGGCAGACAATATTAAAAAGTTTTTGCATTAACAAAATCAATTCAGATAGAGTAAGAAGATTAGTTGTGAATTGTAAATCTTCACAACAAATATCTATGGTAAAGGTTTTGATATCCAAGATTTACATAGAATTTATACAAATTTACATAAATATATGAAGACAAGATTTTTTCATGGTCCACTACCCAACGTAAAAGTGGTCAAAAGATCTGAGGACAATTTAAAAAAAAAAAGCTACTGATAACCATAAGATAAAATGCTCCAAATAAGTAATAATAAGAGGATATGCAAATAAAAACAAGTCTGAGGTTCCTCTTCACAACTATCAGACTGGCAAAGATGACAAAAGGTCAAAATTACAATTGTTGGAGATTCTGTGGCACAATAGCTACAGGAAAGCATTACTGGCAGAAATATAAAGTGGTCCAGTTTTTCTGGAAAACAATCTGGAATAATACTCAAAAAGCCACTAAATTCTGAATATCTTTTCATTCAGCAATACCACTACTAGTCATAGAAGTCACAGAAAGGAAAAAGGATCATGCACCAAAATATTTATAGTAGCACTTTTTATCATTACAAAGAACTGGAAACAAAGTGGGTGCTCATTGAGTGGCAAACTGCTAAACAAAATGTGGTATATGAATGTAAAGGAACATTACTGCACTAAAAAAGTAATATGATGGATACAGAGGAACCTAAAAGACTTGTTTAAAGTAACATAGAGTAAAATAAGCAGAGTCAGAACAAATTTTTTCCTAAATTTTTATTTTTTAGCATTTTTTAAAATTTTGAATTCCAAATTCTCTCCCTCCTTCCAGCCTCTACCCCACCCATTGAGAAAGCAAGCAATATGATATCACTTATACATGTGAAATTATGAAAAACATATTTCCATATTAGCCATGTTGCAAAAAAAAAAGGAATAAAAATAAAGTGAAAAAAGAATGCTTCAATCTGTACTCAAAGTTCATCAGTTCTTTCTTGAAGTGGATATCAGTTTTCATTACAGGTCCTTTGGAACTGTCTTGGATCATTGTATTGATGAGAGTAGCTAAGTCATTCACAATTGATCATCATACAACATTGCTGTTACCGTGTACAATGTTCTTCTGGTTCTGCTCATTCACTTTGCATCAGTTTATATATGTCTTCCTAAGTTTTTCTGAAACCATCCTGCTCATCATTTCTTATAGTGTAATTGTAGTCTATCATAATCATATACTACAACTTGTTCAGTCATTCCCTAATAGAAAGGCATCTCCTCAATTTCCAATTCTTAGCCACCACAAAAAGAGCTGCTACAAATATTTTAGTACAAATAGGTTCTTTGCTTTGTCTTTGATCTCTTTGGGATACAGTCATATCACTGGGTCAACGGAAATGCATTGTTTTATAGTACTTTTGGTGTAGTTCCAAGTTGTTCTCCAGAATGGTTGGATCAGTTTACAATTCCATTTTAAGAAGTAGAGTGGCCTTAAGAAGTAGGATGGTGGATCACTGGAATAGATTAGGTACACAGTAGTGAAAGGCCATAATAATCTAATGTTTGATAAACCCAAAAATCCAAGCCTTTAAGGGCAAGAACTCACCAACTGACAAAAATTGCTGGGAAAACTGGAAAGCAGTTTAGCAGAAACTAGGCATAGTCCAACATCCCACACCATATACACAAGATAAGGTCAAAACAAGTACATTATTTAGCCATAAAAGGTGATATCATAAGTAAACCAGGGGAGCATGGAAAAATGAGTTCTATGGATAAGGGAAGAATTTATGGCCAAATAAGATAGAGAGGATCATGGGAAGTAAAATGTAGAATTGAAATAGTTCACCAATAAGTTGAAATTGGGAAAGAAGAATTATAGTCAGATCATGGATGATGGCTTGGGAAAGTACTATGGTGTAAAGGGATTGGAGATGGAACTAGGTTTAGGAACATAATGTATGGGGAGATCTGGAACGATAAAACAAAAGTTATGATCAGTTAATGGAATTTAAGAGCTCTTTAACATTAAAATAGAACATTTGTGAATAAAAGCAAGGTGAAGGATATGAACACTTGTTTTGTGTAGCTGAGGTAGAATACAGAAAGTTGGGCAGATCTGGAGTTGAACAGATTGAAAAACTGGCAAATTAGGATATTTAAGGAAATATCAACATATATGTTGAAGCCTTTTAGAATAAGGGCAGGAGTTTGAGTAGAGACAAAGACTATGAGCTGGGTGATGAAATCACAAGCAAGGAAGGTGAAAGTTCCAGGGGGTAGTGGGTTAGGTAAGTAGCTAATGGTCACCAACCTCAAAGGAGGTGAAGCTGCTGAGTAATGGTGGCAAGGGGACAATGTGGCAGTAGCAATGCGAAGAAAGAAGTATTCCAACTAGACCAACCCGTCAGAGAGTATGAGAGAAGGTGAAACCAGTTATAGAAACCATGGCCAGGAAAGCAGTGCCAAATGGGAAAAGCCAAGTCTCAGTGAGTGCCAGAAGACAGAGTAAGAGATGAAAGGAAGTTTATTATTCTAGAGGGCACAGAGGAAGGACTGAACAGGTTCAAAGGGAATGGAAATGAAAGAGTAGATTGCAGAGGCTGGGAAGGGAGGTTTATTTGAGGGGTCAGAACCATCATATTAGGAAATAAGAGAAGGGATATGATTATGTTAACCACTAAGGAATGAGTCCAAGAAAGTGACGAAAAGTTTCCAGGTACAATAGCCCTCAAGATCTTGGTCTCAGCGTAGCCCGCAACTACCTGGCCTCAAGGCAAGTGATGCTTTGTCCCTGGGTCATTAAGAAGTCCAGACTCTAGGATGAGAGATGCAGAATAAGATACGTTTTCAAATATAGTTGATATATTGATTTGTTTTATTCAACTATACTTACTGGTCATAAGAGGGTTTCTTTTGAGGAGAAAGAGTTGAGTTCATGAGTAGTGACAGAGATGCAAAAAAGAACACCAATAAAACAATGAAAAATACATGAAAATTTCAAAAAGGAACATAAACAAATTGGGCAATTCTGTATTAAATTTAGCATCAATTTCAAAAGAGGTTTAAAAAAACAAATTGCACTTAAAAGAAGTTTATGGTTTCATAAAATCTTTTTTTTGTTCTTTGTATATTCTGAAGGGCTCATGTATAAGTTTATAATCCAAAAGAAAATTAAAAAAAAACCCAACAAGCTGAAGCTATGCTTAAAATAATTAAGCTATATAAATACCCTTTGACTCAGTGATATGTCAATGGGCATATAACCTAAGAAAGTCAAAGACAGAGGGGTAAAGGCATATATTGGAAAAATATTCACAGAAGCACATTTTGTGATAGCAAATAAATCAGAAGCAAAATAGATGCTCATTGATTGAAGAATGTATGAATGAACCGTGGCATATAAGTTGTATAATATAAGAAAATACATATATAAATTTGGTGAAACTCTGGAAGACTTGAGTGAAATGAAGGCCGAGCAAAGTATGAAGAGCCAGGGTAATAATGACAATAATAACATAAAGGAAAACTCTGATTACTGTAGTGACCAATCTTAAGTTCAGAGGACCAGGGGTAAAACATGTTTCCATTCTCTCAGAAGAGAGGTGGCAAATTATAGGGACATGTTGTAATGAGGTATATATTGTTAAAAAAAATGGCCACTTTGTTGGGGTTTTTTTGCTTGACAATACTTCTTTGCTACAAGAGAGGATTCTAGGGAGGGACATCACTGGGAAGTGTTAACTGTGTTTTTAAAAAGCATTACTAGATAAGCAAGACTGTAAAGAACTCTGGAAAAAAAAAACCAGCTAAAGTAGAACTCAATTCTACCAGATTTCAAAATGTTTTATAAAGCAACAATTATAAAAATTGCCCAGTACTGAAAAATAGTAGTGAGAAACAGATCACTGTGAAAGAGAATGGGAACCTAAATAGATTGGTGCTTGAAAAATCCATTAGTAAAAATTACTGGGAAAAGAAATTCAATAAAAAACTATTAAGAAATAGAATGAGATCCATATTCAACTCCAACTAAGTTCTAACTGGATCAATGAACTAAGGTTTTTTTAGTTAGAAAAAAAATTATAATAAAAAAGATAATATATTTGTCTCAGTTATGGAAAAGAAGACAAGTTACATAAATGACGGCAAAATTGATGGATTTAATCATATAAAGATAAAAGGGTTCTACATGGCAAAAACAGATACAGATATATTTTCATTAAAACAATCAAATAAAGGTAAGCAAGACCAAATATCAAAAGGAATTGATATATAACTATAAGATCAATACAAGAACAGGAAATGTTTAAGGTAAAAAACAAACAGCAGCCATATAAAAAGATGCTAAAATTCTCCAATAATCAGAAAAAATGTAAATGAAGACAATCTTAAACTATCACCTTATATTCAATAAATTGGCAAAAATATCAGTAGGAACTATAGTAAGAAAGGCAAGGATAGAAGGTCTCACTTCCACTAAGTATGGAGAACAGGGAGAATTTTGCAAGGGCCTACATTAAGGATGTGATGCTTATATTTCCATCCCAATCAAATCACAGCCACTTATGCTCAAATTGCAGGCTAGGTCCCCCCTTAGAAGAGAAGGTCAAGGGACTCAAGGAATAACTTCTCCATTCTTAAATTATCAGGGAAAATGAAATTTTTTTTTTATAAAAACAGAAGTCAAAAATACGAAAAAGTTTCCAACAGATTAAATGTAAACTTATCTATTTTCAGTCATATCTGACTTTTCATGACTCCTTTTTGGGATTTTCTTGGAAAAGATACTAGAGTGGTTTGCCACTTCCTTTTCCAGCTCATTTTACAGATGAGAAAACTGAGGCAAACAGGGTTAAGTGACTTTCCCAGGGTCACACAGCTAGTAAGTATCTGAGGCCAGATTTGAACCCAGATCTTCCTGACCCCAGGACCAGTGCTCTATCCACTGCACCACCTAACTACCCTAAACGTAAACTACAAGCAACAATATGAAAATACATTCTAAATCATAAATAAAAATAGAAATGCAAACAGAAACAACTCTGAGGTTTCACCTCACACCCTGCAAATTAACAAAGAGGACAGAAATGAGAATGGTGAAAGTCAAAAGGATGATAGTGAGACAGGCCCACTAATGTACTGTTAAGAGAGCTCTGGATGAGTCTAACAATTCTGGAAAACGATTTAGAATTGCACAAGAAAAGTGACTGAACTCTTCATACCCCTTGACCAAACGATCATGCCCATACCAGAATACATATCTAAAAGAGCTCAAAGGCAGAAACAAAGGTCCAATATATCAAAACGCTTAAATCAGCCCTCTTTTGTGGTAGAAAAGAACTAGAAGCAAAGAGAATGCCCATCAATGGGGAAATGACTGAATAAACTGTGGTGTATGAATATAATGGATTATTGTTGTACAGTAAAAGAAATGACAAACGAGGAATTCAGAGAAATGTGAGATTTATATAAATCGATGGAAAGAGAAATAAGCAGAATTAGAAAAATATGCATAGTAACCATAACAATGTAAATGAAAATATCACTAAAAGGAAATTGAGTTCTGAGTAACTAAAAAGTCAATAATGATGGCAGAGAAAAACAAATAATGAAGTATACCCCTTCCTCCTCCTCTCAGCAACTCAGGCAAAATGTTGTTTATACTATCAGATATGACCACTGCTTTGGATGGTTTCATTAAATCATTTTTCTTTGTTACAAGAGAAGATTCAATTCCCAGGGCTGGAGTGAAGAAGAAAGATGGGAAGGATATATCCAGAAATTACTGATATAAAACAAAAACCATCAATAAAATTTGTTTAAAAAGCAAAACAAAAAAGAAGAGGCACTTAAATATCAAAGAAGAAAAATGATCTAAAGAAGAAGAGGGAACCCTGACCTGTGAAGCAGAAGTTTAAAGAGTAGAAGAATGTTACACACAGAAAAAAGGAAGAAGTAGTACTAGGTAGTTGGAGCCAAGATATAAAACTCTTCCCAAAGAGGAAAGAATCAGATGCTGCTCTGAAGCAGCTGCAACTGCTCATCCTCTAGGAAGGATTTTATGGAAGCACAAATGTTGTCATTGCATTAGTTCTTCCAGAAGGCTCAAAGGTAGTGGAGGTGAGTACTGATGAGTGGTAACTCCTTACTAAAGAGTAACGGGGCAGCTACCTATTTGTGGCCCTTATAACACAACAGCGGTCCTCTTCCATAACAGAGAACTTTCCAAGACTTATGAAACCAAAGGACTACTACCCACTTATGGTCATTTATGGGGCAAAAATCTAACTTCCAAAAGAAACTCAGAAAGTATTGTCAAAGATTACAAAGCTTTGGGTAAAAAAAAATGAGAACCTCATATTCAGTTTTGATAGGTTTTTTTTTTCATTTTGTATTTGATCACAACTTTGTTAAAATTTACAGGTTAATATGATACTCACCACCACTTGTAGAGGAGGAAGGGTCCACAGCCAATACAGATACTTTGTGTCCATTCTCAGTAAGCATCTTCCCCAAACATTCTATAAATGTTGATTTCCCAGCACCTGGAGGACCAGACAATCCTAGGGTACAAAGAAACCTTCTAATTCAGTGTAATAAGTAACAGCATTCTATTAAGTCCAACATTAATATTGCCTCTATTTTTCATGATTTATTGATTACTGCTATTTGTCTATTTTATCACTTCTGAACTTCATTAAAAAGAAATAATTCTTTGGTTAATTCCTGCATAACAAGTTGTAGTAGAAGAATACTTTTTATATATCTTCAAATAAAATTCAATGACTAAAAATAACAATCTAATGTTATTATATGATAAAATATATGTAAATACTTTACAATTTAGATTTTTTTCTCTCAATCCCACTTAATTTCTAAGTGGCTAATAGTGTGTTCCCAAAATTTATACCCATTTCTCCCTCCAAATAAATTAGCAGCACCATCATTTCCTGTGAAGTATGGTAAGAAATCATCCTAAGCTTGCCTTCGGTCTTGAACATTCCAGATAACTAAAGATGTATATACTCATTATAAAAGAAGTGATATGTGTGTTTATATAAGAAAATAACCCTCTTTTTTCTTCTTTTATTCAAAATGCATGAGTCTCAGTTCAAAATTTTAAATAAAATCCTAGCAAAAAAGATACAGCAATGTATCCAAAAAATTTTTCATCACGATCAAATTGAATGTATTCCAGAGGTGCAAGCAAGGTTTAACATCAGAAAAACAATTAGCATAAATAACATTAAAAACAAAAATGCCCCAAACTACATGATTACAATAAGTACAGAATAAGCCTCTGAAAATGTACTACATCAATTTATCTTCAAAACACTACAAGGTCTAAGTATATCAAAGCCATTTTAATGTGACAAAAAGTACTTATCTAATATAAAAAGTTAACATTATTTGCAATGGGAAGATACTAGAAACCTTCCCAGTAAATACAAGCATAAAGCAAGGATGATTCCTTTCCCCAGGGTTATTTAACATAGTTCTTGAAATGCTAGTGATAGCAATAAGAGAGAAATTAAGTACATAAGGACAGGCAACAAAGAGACAGAACTATCCCTATTTCTTGATGACAAGATGATTCTCTTAGAAAATCCCAGAGAGTCAACAAAGAAACTAAATGAGATAATTAATAAATTCAAAAGTAGCAGAATACAAAATAATAGGTCCCCCTCCAAGAAAAATTTACTAGTGTTTCCATATAATTATAACAAAATCCACAAGAAAATATTAAAAAGGCAAGCCTGATTCAAAGTAACTACAAAATATATAAAATATCTAGGAATCCATTTACCAAAGCATGCTCAAATACAATTACAGGCCATTTGTCAAAGAATAAAATGTATAAATCACTCTAAGAGTATCACCTAAGCCAAATTCTAACATAACAAAATTTTCCATTAAAGCTAGAAATTATCCTGAACAAAATTTTCATGGTAGTATTTTAATTATTAACCTTTCTTATGATCAAAAAAGCATTTAAGCGACTACTGTGCAATACACACTGTGCTAGATGCTGGGGACACAACAAAAAGTAAATACTTCTTTACCTTAAGGATACCTGTGATCATTAATTTATAGTTGGAATGGACCTTAAAGATCAGTCCAATCCTCTGTTTTTTTTTTCATAGATGAAGAAGTAAAGGCCAAGAAAGGTTAAGTAAGTAGTCTGGTTCTGTCACCATTGTTCCTTGAGGACAAAGGCTTTCGCTTTACAATCTTCCCCATGCCTTGCACTGTCCCTTGCACACTGTACAGTGAGTGGTTCAATGTACACTGATGATAATGATGATAACCTATGGTATCTACAATAAAATCAGTGCTCTCCCAGGTTTAATGTGACCAAAATAAGTGGAGGTTACCAGAAACAAAAGTTGCAAATTTGAACTAAGCTGCCAACCAGTTCTGTCTCCGCTTCCAGCCATTTCTAGGACTTTTGTTTTTTTTTTTTAAAGAAATACACTCAGTCTAACAACTAAAGTCTTTCATCCATCTAGAATTTGTTTCTGTAAATAAGTAGTTTGCTTTGCCATGTTTGTTGCTAATTATATAAAGGTGGTTATTATAGATCACTGTGCTCTCTCAAAATCAGTACATACAGAACAAGTAACATGCCAGTTTGGGGTAGGGATACAGATAAGTGAAAAATCATGGGCTATTCTGAATACTGGTAGATAAGTTACTTTTGAGAAATTATTTCTAAAGCATCTATACCAACGACTCCCAAACTAAGAACAAAGATTATGTATTAAATTAAGTCTTCAAAGAAATGTAATGGGGCAACACATATCTGAAGTAACTTCAGACCACTTAGGGAACAATTCCTTGTTACTTTATTCACAACTTTAATTATTTGATCACTCCACATGGTCACAAATCTGATTTGCTCAATTCCGTTTATGTGGTCAGACACATATACTTATGCAGTGATTCTGCAGTTCCAGAAATAAATCACTGTTTCCAGAAATCAAATAGGATTTTCAGGTATTATAGGCTGGTAACAAAAAGGGTGATACACCTTTTAAAATATATTTAATGTCAAGATGACTAGGTTTAAAGCTACTTCCAGACACCCTTACATGTAATAGAAGGGGTCCTAAAAGAACATGGTTTGCCTACTAAAGAAAAAAGAAACTCTGAAAATGTCATTCTTAAGAGTAATTACATAAGACAAACACAAAAACTGGACAATTCACGCTCATGACTCCTAATCAAAAAAATAAAGGACTCTCAGAAAATGTTAATCAGTATTATTTCCAGTGTGGATTCCTATTCTCAAATACAGTAATATTCTACACGGTAAGCCTCTCACTTTGAGTAAGGAAGAATTTTTTATTATTCTCTTAACATAGCCATATGACTCATATGACCAGAGCAAAATCTTTCAATTTAATGATATCTATGATCCAATGACCTAAAAAGTTGATTGTCAAAGACAAGGCATCTGAAATTCATCTAAAAAATCCTCAGTTGAAAGATTTTTTTTTAAATATTAAAACTAAATGTCTAGGGATCATTTTAACAGCAAAAAAAGAAAATGCAGAATTATTTAATTACTGGACAAAAATGACTGACCCACTCTAAATGCCAGTGGCTTTCCTTGATTTAATTGCTCTTGTTCTCTGTGGTAGTTTAATACCCTCTGAAGAAGGACCTGGGCTAACTCTTTTTTCCTGCTATGAGTTGATTCTATAAGAGTAATACATTCTGCTAGGGAGGCCCTTTGCCCTTGAATTAAACCAGTGTAAAGTTTATTCACAAATCTTCCTTCTTTGTCAGAAAGTCCCTCTGTGTGTAGCTTTATGGTTGTCTGTACGCCTAGTTTTCTCTTGAAACCACATGATGGTAGTATCCACTTTGCGTGAAACAATCCAACAGAATTAAGAAGTCGAGTACATGGGAATCCAGATCCAAAATGAATATTGAGTGAAAGACGAATTGGTAGTTTTGGAAAGGTGTTGTTGAAAGGCTCCTAAGAAAATGACGGTGAGGAAATAGTAGCAACATGGATATTTTCATTTCGTTTTGAATTGAAGAATATACTGAAGTTTTGGTCAACTTGATTTGTGACCTTCCTAAGGAAGAGAGAGAAAAAGAGGGGAAATTTTTTTTTACTTTATTCAACACAGTAAATCATGACAGGAAAAAAGCAAATGCACAGTCATTTCAAACAGATCACCCACTTAAATCTGACTTCTGTACTTAAGCAATGCAAAACAGGTTTCGGACTAAAGTATTCTTATATAAAATTATACTTGATTTTATTAAATGTCATCACATGAGACTAACAAGTCAATCTATATGTTAGATATGGGCAGGATCACAGAATCTAAGAGCTAGAAGGGAATTCTGAAGCTATTTAGTCTGACTCATACACAAAAATATACTCTACACCATTCCCAATAAGCAACCGCCCTACCTTTGCTTGTACACAATCAGTGAGGAGGAAGCCACTACCCCAGTGAGGCAGCCCAATCCAAAGTTTTTCCTTACATCAAGGTGGATATCTTTTTCCTCTGTAATTTCCATCTATTGTTCTAGTTTTAGGAGACCAAACAATTCTAATTCCTCCTTCTACATAACAGTCCTTTGAATGTCATCATGTCCCTTCTAGATTTTCTCTTCTCCACTCAACATCCACAGTCCCTTCAACCAATCCCCATGAGGCATGGTCTCCAAACCTCACTATCCTGGTCAGTCTCTTCTTCTTCTTCTTCTTCTTTTTTTAGGCAATTGGGGTTAAGTGACTTGCCCAGGGTCACACAGCTAATAAGTGTCAAGTGTTTGGTCTGAGGCTGCATTTGAACTCAGGTCCTCCTGACTTCAGGGCCAGTGCTCTCACCCTACCTGCCTCCATCGTCTTCTGAATAATTTCTAATCTTACCATGTCTTTCCTAAAATGAAGTGCCCAGAACTGAAAATAATACTCCACGTGTGATTTATGATCTAACCAGAGCAAAACATGAAACTATTTTCTTCCTTATGACACTGTCTCCTCTTAATAAGGCCTAGAAGAACAAATTTGTATGTCACTGTTCACTGCAGATAAACTCTAATAAAATCTCCAGGCATCTATAATTAAACCACACCTCCTCCATCCTGTATTTACAAAGTTAATTTCTGAACTCCAATGTAGCACTTTACATCAATTCTTAAGAAATTTCAGCTTATTCAATTGATACCATATTATAGTTTGTCAAGCCCTGTTTGGCTACAGATTGTCATCCAATATATTATCTATTCCTCTATGACCTCATGTCATTAGCAAATTTGACCAGCATGCCTCCTAAGCCCTCATTCACGTCAATGATTAAAATGTTAAAGATGACAGAGCCAAAAGTAGATGTCTGGGGTATTTTCTCCCTTCAAGTTGCTGTTATCCTAATGATAACTACCGCATAGATCCTGGCATTCAACCAGTTCTACATGTATCTAACTGTATAATTATCTAACATGTTTTCATCATACCCAAAAGCATAGTATGAGAAGTTCTGCCAACTGCTGATGAAATCTAAATATAATAGCAGGGAAATGTCTTGATGAAGATTGAGACTTTTTTTCTTATATAACCAATGCAGGAATTTGTTTTGCTTAACTATACATTATTTGTTACAAAGGTCTCATTTTCCTTTTTTTTTTTTGTTCCGGGGGGGTGGGGAATGAGAGAAAGATTTTCATTCATGGAAAAAATTAATTTAAAAAACAATTTATCAAGATTTTTGTTAGTCAAGCATATTGTACCACAGTTTAAAGAATTTCACCTTTTTTTCAAAAACAGTACTTACTGATATTTGTCCTTGACAAAGATCTCTTCCATTTGCTTTTTTTAAAAATCACTAAAAATGGCTCAGCAATCACATCCTTTCATTCATTACTGTATGATGGAGAATATCTCAACCACATGACTTGAGAATTCATGTGTATATATATACACACACCACACCCACATGGTTTCCCCAATAGCCTATATGTGCTTTAAAGGCAAGGGCTATTCCATTTTTGTCTTTATGTTCCCAGCTCATAGCACAGTGCATAGGTACATAGGAAGCACTCATGAACGCTTGATTTGTTGGCAGAATGCTGGGATCATAGATACAGAACCAGAAAATCCTTTAAAGGCTACCACGTTGAATCCCTTCCTCCTTTATTATAAATGAAGAAATTAAGGCCCAAGGAGGTTAAGTGACTTGCACAAAGGCATAATGCTAACAAGTAGAAATGCTGGTTCTCTGACTCAAAATCCAGTGCTTTTTTCTACTGTATTGTGCTAGTTCTTTGAAGGCAGTTGGATGTTACTCACCATCTCACCCAATACCTTGGGTTTCTACTCCCTGCTAACCATTTTTTGTTTATTCTCAATCCAACAATCTCTACTTAGGAAAGAAAATAGGCACAAAATAAGGGTTTAGTAGTTTATTACTAGTCTATCTGTCCCCAAGCAGCAATCTTATCTCTTCTTTGATCCTTCTCACTTCCCAAAATAGCCTTTAAAAGTTCCATTTTTATATCCTTAGCATTTATTATCAGCTTCTGCTCATTCTGAGTTTTTATTTATCTGTTGCTATTTTTATTGGATCATGTTACCTTTTTGTATTCCTCAGTTATTTAGCCTTTTTTCTACATCCCATAAATGTCTTTAAAATTAAGAACAGAAGGCTATAATCATAATGTCCAAGCTTGGCATCAAAGAAAAATGAAGACAATATGCCTCTTTCCTTTCTTTGCACAGGTAGAGGAAAACATAAGAAGGGATACAGAGAGCAGGTCTGGCTCTAGTGAAAAAAAAAAAAACTTTCAAAGCCCCTATCAATGGTGAAAAAGAGGAGACAAGTGATGGAATGAGAAAAGGGGAGGGAGTGCTGCAGACCAGTTAAAAATCTTTACATAGGATTTCTACTGACGAACCAAATAAAGAAAAAAACATTCCCTGCCTGGTATACAAATGAAACATAGGATAATAAAACATTTATTCTTAAAGAATATACAGATATAAAAAACTTTAAACACAAGAAAAACTTAAAATCAAAATCACATCATAACTCATACTGCAGTAAATGCAGTTTTGGTTTTGTCTTTGTATTTCCAGTACCTAGCAAATAGCACATAAAAGGCACTTAATGAATGATTGCTGATTAGTTCATAAGAAAATTGGATAACAGATTTAGAATTCCAAGCAACTTTTAAAGACCATCTAGACCAGGCCTGCACAACATACGGCCCACAGGACACTTGCTGCCTGCCAAAGGATTTCGGGTGGTCCGCAAAAAAATGTAGAGGATGTAAAAGGAAGTAAAGATGTAACAAGTGTTATGTCCATGCCTGCTTAACCTGCCTTCCACTAGTCACTAGTGCACCCGTCATGTAACTTGGTGGGCGAGTTGCCACTGCGCACAGCCTCCTGTTTGTCACGTGACCCACGACAACCAATCATCGTCAGTCTGTCTCTAGTCTGAGACGGGCAAGAGTTGTATCTTTTCACTGTATTTTTGCTCATTACTGGTGTTGACCAGGGACAAAGTGAGTATAGCCACATGCCACTGCAGCTGATGCCTACTATGCGATGAGTGGCATCAATCCATCAATCCCCTCCCTCGATATACAGCTGCTCTCCATGTTACATGAACGTTTTGGCACTCTCTCCAAAGTGAGACACTCAGTTCAGTATTTCTTTGTATGTGAGCAGCTGGGCGATTTTTTGGTTATGACATTAAAGTTTTTGGGCTGACTTCGTAAAATGGGTGATAAAAAGAAACAGAAGATCAAATTAGAACATATAGTGTTTAATTCGAAGTGGACAAGATACTTGTTTACTCACACGAGAGACAAAATATTGTGCCTTGTTTGCCAAGAAGTAATAGCCATTCTGAAGGAATACAATCTTCATTGTCATTTCGAATCAAAACATCCTGACTTAAGCAAATTGGACACAAATGAAAAACAAATTAAAGTGTCCAGATTATTGAAAAATCTCAGTAGGGAACAATGGTTTTTCAATAAAGTAAACTCAGAAAATGAGGTGGCTACTAAGGTTAGTTTTCAGATTCCTAAAGAAATTGCTGCTGCTGGGAAGTCTTTTACTGAAGGTGACTTCATAAAGAAGTGTTCACTGATTGCAGTTTCTGTATTATGTTTTGATAAAAAAAAAGTTTTCAAGAAATAGTTTAATCATTAATTATGCCTTTACTTGGAAAGTGAGCTGCTAAAAACTTATCTGTGGCCTTAAGAAGTTTAGCCTACTTTAATTTTGGCCCCTATTTATTGCCAAGTTGTACAGGTCTGATCTAGACCAACATCCTCATTTGTAAAAAGAAGAAACTAAGGCCCTGAGAAACCTCTCAGGTTACCTTACCCAAAGTCACAGAGCTATTAAATGGAAAAGGAAATGTATTCTCTCAAATTGCAACCACTGTATAATTAAACATGACATATATTTGTACATATTAAATGCAATTAAATTTGTATAATGCAATGTATATCAAATACTTGTATATTTAAAATTAACTACTCAAAAATGAAACTGCCTTTTGTATTTCACTAGAATTTTAAACATATAATTTTTATAATTTTGACATAATCTTATTTGAAAATGAAAAGAAAATACAATTAGAAATATTTTCAAAAGAAACTATATGTGTTGTACATACATACGTGATTTAACTTTTTTTTTATTTAATGTATTTACTTTTAGTTTTCAACATTCACTTCTACAAGATTTGAGTTCCAAATTTTCTCCCTATCTCTCTGCTCCCCCCACCCCAAGATGGCATGCATTCTGAATACCCCTTCTCCCAATCTTCCCTCCCTTCTATCATTCTCCCTTCTCTTATTCCCTTCCCGTTCTATTTTCCCATAGGCAGGACAGATTTCTATACCCCATTGACTGTATATCTTATTCATAGATGATTTAACTTTTAAGAAAACAAAAATTTTTATTAAAGTAAAATATTGTCCTTTCACAGATTAGATATTTTATTAATATTGACATTTTATTATTTTATTAAAACAAAATAAAATTATACGCAAGCTCCCAAATTGCAAATTTGTTCAAAAAAGCTGTACTTTAAAAACAAATAAT